AATGCTCTACCATTTAAAAGTACCAAGGAGTTATTCTCCATAAAGTCAACCAATAATTCTCCCTTTTTATTTTCAACCATATCTAAGTTATTTCAGGTATGGGCTAAACTAGAACCTTCAAAAGCCTCAAAATGACCCTGATTAAAGTCACCCTAGCATTAAAATCACCTAAAAACAAAAACAAATGTTGAGTGTATCTACTTAGTAATCTATCGAGAGTCGGCTCAAATAATTCCAATAAGAGACCAATATTCAAAGATGGTTTAAAGTATACTAAAATTAAACGTATCAGTGCCATGGGTTTCCTTAAAATAAGCACATATCCAGTATTCACTAATGTCTTAACACAGTTACAAAATAAACTTTAGGGATTATAAAACAAAATAAGGCCTCCGCTGCCCCTACCTTGACTCTTCCCCTGACGGCGTTAGATGTGATGAAGTTGGAATCCGAGAGCGCTTTTGGTGCCATTGCCGCTCTTTCTAGAAGATGAGTTTAGCAGAGGCATATTTGGTTGTATCACTGAATCTTATTTCCTTTATCCATCAACATTCCAGAGAAATATTGTGCTGGGCTCCTGGTGATAATTAATTGTATTTATGCTCACATTGTGGTCATGGTTTACAGTTCTAAATTGAGAATCTAGAAGCCGCTTCCTGTAGCAGGACCACTGATGGATCTGGATCTAGGCCGGAATTCAAAAGCTTTTAATTTTTCTTCTGTTTTGCTCTTCTTCTGTAGCTGCCCCAGTTTTTCAATTTATTGATTACAATTCACTATTATATTTTCACTATGATATTTTCGATTTCATTTAAACAGTAAAGATTACCTTTAAACTTAAAGAGCCCTCTTCTGTTGGAAACATTATTATCTATTGTCATAAGTTTGATCATGCAACTGAAAATTTGTTTACCCACTTCTGTATCTTCTGGTGTTCTGTTATGATTAATTCTGATGTTTTTATTAGCGAAAGCGTTATTCATGGAAACCAAAATTGATCTTTGTTCATGACCTTTTCCAATTCTGAAACAGCTATTTATGGCTAAGTCCGGTATATTTACACCAACATCCTGGCATGCATAAATAACTTTTGAGTTGACATCCTTGTTTTCCGTAGAGGGCAAGTTAAATAGAAATAGAAAACTATTCCTTTTTCTCTCTCTTTTTAGGGACCTTATTTCACTTTCTAGGGCTATTATTTTTTTGTCCTGGTCTAAATTTTTCTTTTTAAGGTTTGAAATTTCAACTATTAAAGAATCTAGATTCACGATAATTTTATTTAACGATATTTATGTTTCCTCATTATTTCTGTTGAACAATAAATCTTCATTTAAATCAGACAGCAACAATAAATCTTCATTGGTGACTGCCATATTGTTTTTATTTTCAAGTACTATTCTTCAGATAAGGTGGGGGTGAATAGGGTGTTTCTTGCCAGCGTTAAACTGATACTTTATTCTGACGAAAATTACTTTTTATTAACTTCTATACAGCTACCACTATACTTTACGGAACACAATCAGAATTTGTACGTGCACTCCTTAACACAAGTCGCAGAATCTTATCAAAATTCAAGGCACAAAAACAAGTTTAAATACAAGGGGTTAACTGCAGGCAGACCCAATCTATCACTCATAACAGCCAGAGCCAAACTACCAAGAAATATTATTTATTCTCTGTTATGGGCTGTGGGGCGACCATTTTCCATTCATCCATAGTCCAGTGGACTCTGGAACTCTGGTCCTCTCACTGGACGAAAAGCCATTAATCCATACTCACTTAATCTTCTCCGAGCGTTACGTTCAGAAATTTGCACACCTCGAACTTCTTTGAGCTGATGAATCGCTTGAACAATGGTAAGGTGCCAGTTTCGTAAAATTCTCAAAGTAAAAAAACCGGTCATCAGGTGGTTCTGTTACCCTAGGCAGTTCAGAACCGGGCCTTCTATTGTAAGAAACAGTTTCTCGAAAACGCCTGACGGCGTCTCATAAAGTTTCATATGGAACTCCGATGGCATTAGCTGCATATCTAATGGAACATCCATCATCAATAAGTGCCACACCATGCGCAACATCCTCAGCACTAAAAAGCATTTTTAAACTTAATATTGAAAAAATTAAAAGCCGGATTCTAAGAAATGTGCTGCAAGAAACGGCACTGAACTAATGGTACTGAATAAACATTTTGATTCCATAGAAAGTAAACATTGGAATCTAGAATCATTTCATTGAATTAAGGATTAAGGGTTATTGTCCTCTATATTAACATTCTTAATTGAAAACAAACAAAAAGATTACCTATTTATTCATTAAAAACAATAGACCAATCCAAAGCAGAAATATTTTTAGATGAAAACATGAAAAAATCAAGTGGGTGGAATTTTTTGCCTGTCAGTGTATTTTGGCCTCAGCAAACACCTTATTAGAAGCTCTGCCATCTCCCGTCATACAAAATGCCTCATATATAAGACCCTCATTAGGCCTGTTCTCACATATGGATCGGAAAGCTGGACCCTCTCTAGCAAAGAAGAAAAAGATTTACTAATCTTTGAAAGGAAGATCCTTCGGTGTATCTTTGGACCTGTTAAGGTCGGTGATGATTGGAGAAGGAGGACTAACAGGGACCTATATGATCTGTATGGGGGGGAGACGGATGTGTTGAGGTGCATCAAGCTTGGGCGACTACGTTGGGCTGGCCATGTGGCCAGAATGCCAAAAGAGGAAGTCCCAAGGAACTTGCTTGATGGGAAGCTCTGCAGGACAAGAGGGAAGGGCAGACCACATCTAAGATGAAAAGACACCGTCATTCAGGATGCCAGAGAAGTATTGCATACCCGCAACTGGCGAACCATCCGTTTCTTTCCGACAGTCAAAAACCTTAGACTGATCTTTGATCAGAACCTTTATTGGAACAACCATATTTCCCAGATTATCCATAACTATCCTTAAACAATTCCTTGATTCCACTCAAAAAACACCAGACAGCTTCTTGTAACATCCCTTGTCTTCCCCCACTTCGACTACGGTTGCCTGGTGTATGGAGGGCTGTCCACTGAACTGGAGGCGTGACTGAAGAAAATTATGAATTGCTTCATAAGATTCATATTTAGGATTCCCAAGCATTCTCATATTTCTTGTTGGTACACCGAGTTGAAGTGGCTATATTCTACTTCCAGACAGCAATTCCTACTTGGTGTTTTCTTTTTTCAAGTTCTCAGAAGCAAAAGCCCTCCCTACATCTTAGAACTCCTTACTTTACGCTCCTCTATCCACTCTCTCAATACCAGATCTCAACCTATAAATTTATCTAATCCCCTACCATAAAATCACTTCCTTCAGTAAATCGTGCTAACTCCTTACCCATCTCCATACGTCAAACCACGTCCATAAACTCCTTCAAACAACTCCTATTCCACCACTTACTACAGATTCAAACTTCCGCAAGCTTGTAAAAATTTCTGGGTTATATAATTACATTGGCCTCCAGCAGTTAATTGACAGAAACCAGTTTATTCTTATTTATTAATTTTTTTATATCTCAGTATTTTATTGTGTATATCTGTGTTTATCGTTATTATGTTATGTAGATATTTTCCTTGGTACTTTTTTATATATATATTGTATTTTTCTTAGTATCTTTGTGTGTGTGTGTGTGTGTGTGTGTGTGTGTGTGTGTGTGTGTGTATATATATATATATATATAAATACACACACATACAAAGATACTAAGAAAAATACAAATATATATATATAAAATAAATAAATAAATCATATTTAGGATTCCTAAGCATTCTCATATTTCTTGTTGGTACACCGAGTTGAAGTGGCTATATCCTACTTCCCGACGGCAATTCCTACTTGGTGTTTTCTTTTTTTAAGTTCTCAGAAGCAAAAGCCCTCCCTACATCTTAGAACTCCTTACTTTACGCTCCTCTATCCACTCTCTCAATACCAGATCTCAACCTATAGATTTATCTATCCCCTAGCATAAAATCACTTCCTTCAGTAAATCGTGCTAACTCCTTACCCATCTCCATACGTCAGACCACGTCCATAAACTCCTTCAAACAACTCCTATTCCACCACTTACTACAGATTCAAACTTCCTTTATATATATATATATATATATATATATATATATATATATATATATATATATATATATATATATATAAACACACACACACACACAAAGATACTAAGAAAAATACAAATATATATATAAAAAAAAATAAATAAAAGTACCAAGGAAAATATCTACATAATAACGATAAACACAGATATATACAATAAAATACTGAGATATAAAAAAATTAATAAATAAGAATAAAATGGTTTCTGTCAATTAACTGCTGGAGGCCAACGTAATTATATAACCCAGAAAGTTTTACAAGCTTGCGGAAACTTTTATATATATATATATGTTATGTATATCTATATTATCTATATATATATATATATATATATATATATATATATATATATATATATATATATATATATATATGTATATATATATGTATGTATATATATGTGTGTGTGCTTACAATTTCCTAGATATTTTGTGTATATGTTTATATAATACTTACATGCCAGACTAAGGTACATATTTTGTAAACTCTACTATTATTCTAAGGGGACTTCAGTCCCAGAATAAAATAAAATAATAGTAATAAGTATAATAGTATAAAATAATAAAATTCATCCACTCCCTCTCCAAAAGATCTTGACCCTCTGACCTCTATACTCTTTTTTATAGATCTACCTCATTCTAAAACTACTTTATTGCCTGTTCTACCACTTTTTGGAATTCTCTCCCAAAATTTACCATATCTCTTTTACTTAATTTATTTCTTTTTCTTTTTCTTTGTTAGTTAAGAATGGATGTTTATATGATTAATTTAATCACCCTATTTGTATCATTCTATTTAAGTAGTAAAGATATTATTATTATTTTGCACCAAAAGTTTTGCAAATTGATTATATTTTGTCATTTTTAGTACATTTTGCACTCTACTTCTGTTGGAACAACCCAAAAGGGAAATGGAAAATTCATCCCAGAGAGGAAAACTTTGGTCGAAAATAAGGTATTTGAAGCTTATTAGTAATATAACTTTTAAAATTGTTTTACATATTTATAAATCATCAGTGGGTTTGTCCATCATCATTGGGTTTTGAAGTGAAACCTTCATAAAATTGTCGTATTACCATATTTATTTTTCTCTATTTGTATGTTTGTTAGGTTAATAAAATAAACAGAGTATTAGTTAATTGTGGGTTGATGTTTGATTGTAGTGAATAATGAAGAGAAGGATAGTTGGGGTGATTAGTCAAAAATAAAAGGATTAGTAAAGGTGAATTAACATTACTTTACCTAAATAAAGTTGATTTATTTATTTTTGTGTTTCAAATTATTATTCACATTATAGGTTATCCCTTATTAGGGAATAAAAAATATGAATATCTGCTGAAGTTATGAGCATTTATTGAGATATTACTGATAATAGCAAATTACTTTTTGATTAATATTACATTTTTTGTTGGGTTAATAAAATAAATAAGATAACAGAATCAATGGGTCTTTCATAGAATAGGTGAACCTGTTACTTCTCAGTAGCCTCAGTGATTGTTAGTGATCCCTTATAATATTTTGAATGTCAGTTATAATATATTTATACTTAAATTTATCTTAAATCCAGAAGAATTAAGTTGTTCGTGCTTTGTATATGAAATAATAAAGAATGAAAGAAGTGCCTGATTGTTTTTAAAACAAAAGGTAATATACATGAATTCTATTATGCATAAAGAAGTATACTGTAGTGGAGGATAGATAGAATTTATTTATTGTATAAAGCAGTACATGCTTGTGACATAAATAATAGGGATGGACGATAGTCGATAGTTTTCCACTATCGATAGTTCGATATTATCGATAAAAAACTATCGATAGTTTAGTAACTTCCCGACACAGGCTTAAAGAGGATTTATTTTCAATTTATTCTTTAATTATTTATTTTAAAATGCTGCTTAAGCTTTATAATCAACATTTATATTGAATACATTCTTTAAATAAATTATTAAAAAATTTTTTTGATGGGAAAATACATTTACATAGAAAAATAAATTGCATTTATTTTCCTGATTGTTGAATTCAAACAAAAAAAAATTGACGACATATAGGTAGTATTGGTTTAACCATTTGCTTTAAAAAGGAGGTGAGAAATGTGTGTCTTAATTTCCAAGATTCTAATTTTTTAAATTTAATTTGATAATAGCACCTAGTTTAAAATATATTTAAAAAAACTGTAATGGCATCCTTGTAGATTTTATAATTATGTTTTGTTTTGTTTTTTAATAAAAAAGGTGAGGTAAATTTAACATTTTTTTCCATTGGCACAACTGGAGTTGTAAAAATAAGGAAGTAATTTGAGATTGGATTATTTTTTACCTTGAAGGATTCTTTCTTTTCAATTTAGTTTCAGTCTTATATATTGATAAGAATAGTTTCCAACAGGCCTTCACGCTTCCATTCATTTATTTTTTTAACGTGGCGTTTTCATTATACAATAACTGTTTTCCACTATCAAACATATAACTTTTACATTGTTATACTATCAATATATTTTGTACACCAATAAATGGGTGTAAGAATGATATTGAAAAATGTTGGGTATAAGAATAATATTGAAGTAATATTATTGAACGTGGTACATGCCCATATAATTGCTAAAACATACCCCTCAGACCAGCAATATATTTGATTTTGGCTCAATAATATTGACTGTGTATGGGGATATTAATTGTGCGGTAGTCTTCCTTAACGTTGTCGGTGCTTTTGACAATGTTGGCCATAAACACATCGTGAGCTCCTTAGAAGCAAGAGGTGTGTCACCGGATCTTAAACGTGTTATATCGGCTCTCCTCTGCACCAACACAATCAAAATTAGTAACGGTGTTCACGCAACTAGCCAAATCAAAGTGCTGCGCGGGGTACCCCAAGGCGGCCCCTTGTCGTCGTCGCTCTTCAACCTGGCCATCGACCATCTCTATCGCGACCTGTGCGATGAAGAATTTTCCAAAAAATTTGGATACAAGTTAAAAAGTGACCAAGGTTGTGTGGTCCTCACAGGTTTCGCGGATGACCAGGCCGTGTCAGCGAGTGACAAGGGGGCTGCAGAAAGAGTGATCGGCAGCGTTCAGAGGGCTTTTGAGGAAATTGGTTTGGCTATTAATCCTCAAAAAAGCGTGGACATCGTTCTAAATAAAGGAGAGCTGGAAACATTGCAGAATGGAGATACCATCAAGTATTTAGGATGTACATTCTCGGGAGAGCTACAGTTCAACAAAGATTCGGTGACCAAATTGAACGAAAATCTGAATAAACTGGTAACCTCTCCCTTGCTGAAGCCGGAGCAGAAGCTAAACATTGTCAACCAATATCTGTTCCCGGGTCTTACTTACCCTCTCCAAACTGTGCCCCTCACAAAGCTGCGTCCTGCCATACTTGACGGCATCGACACCATGATTCGCAGGAGTGTGAAGGCTATTGTTGGACTCCCTGCGAACACCTCCACGGCGATGTTGTACGCTCCCAGGAGGTATCGAGGATTAGGATTGATCCGCTGCCAATGGGAAGCTCCTCTACAACATTGGTCCATTGCTCAGCGACTGTCCAATGTGCCCGAAACCCTTTTTCAGTCGATCTTTGATTATTCGGCTGAGGTTGATGAATGTGCCGAGAGATTGGGGGTTGATCGGGGTATCCGGAATATGAGAGCTCTACGGCAGTCGCTTCGAGAAAATTTGTTTAAGGAATGGACCAATTGCAGGTGGCAGGGCATTGGAGTTCGCCATTTTAAAGAGACCCCAATAAATACAGAAAGAATACAGAGAGAAAGCCAATAAATACATGTACGATAAGCAAGTACTTTCTGGGTCTGAATGGTCAAATGCCCTGAAACTAAATATTAATTATGCACCCCTGCGTGGAGTCCCAGGTGTCAGCGGACAGGTAAGAGAAGTTGGGTCCCTCTGTCACAAATGCGACAGAGAGCCAGAAACACCAGCACATGTGCTTGGAAAATGCCCCAACAACTCCCTCCTTATAACGCGCTGTCACCACAGAGTCAAACATGAACTGATGAGGCTCCTTAAAGAGAGAGATTACGCCTGTTTCGAGGAAGTATATTGTATAGATAGTAAAAATAAAATAAATTAATAAAAAAAAATTAATAAAAATATAGGAAAAAAAATTATGATAAAAAAAATATATATAGATAAAAAAAAAAATTGTATATTATGCTTATACATGTTGTTAATACTATATAACTGTATATTAGTTTTGGAAAATTGTCTGTAGCGATTAATAAGTATGCTCTTACTTGCTGATTATATAGTCCTACTCAGTGAATCTTGGCACAGTGCACATAAAAAAAACTCAAGATATTAGAATTATACTATAGGCAAAATGGTTTAACTCTGAATCTGGAAAAATCAAAAATCATAGTATTCCACAAGTCACCAAGAAATAAAAAATTGAAACCACTATACTGGAATAACCTGAAGTTAGAATATCAAACATCTATCAACATATCATACATCTATCAAACAAATCATACATCTATCTTGGAGTTCCTTTTCTATCATCAGCAAAGTTTTCAAAAACGGCAGAACACTTTGTTCAATGGTCAACGGTAGCATAGTGTCATCGATGAGTTTCCGACAGAGTTCGCATGGTTGACTGGTCTATAAAATCAGACATCTGTTTTGTATAGTAATTTTTAGATATGCTGTGCTTGCGACCTGTAGTTGACTTATTGTTCTGTATTTGTGGATATTTAAACTGTATAACAAATATTCTTCTGGCTGTGGATAAGTGAAATTGCAGATGTTTCTATTAATGGGGTTGTGGGTGGAGGCCATTGCCCGGCTTATGTCATTTGGTAATAAATTATTTTCTAGTTTTTTGATGATTGCCCTTTTATTTATAATTAGTTTATTTTTGTTAAAGATATCTGTGAAAAAATCCAGGGCATTATTCATGGATGCTATTATCTTGAGTTATGAAATCCAATTTGATTTGAAATCTTGTTTTCTGACAGCTAAGGTTGATAATCTGTTAAAGCATTGCCTTGCTACTCTATGCTCAGGTACTGAGAGAATTTTTATGCAAAAATTGAGAAGTTTCTTAAAGACTTTTGCAAAAAGTGGGAAGCGACCTGTTTCTGAACTATGTAATTGGGTGTTGTTTTAGGCCAAAAATATAATGATTTCAGAGATTTGGTTTGCACGGTTTCTACCACTTCCAAGTGATTTAAGCTCCAGATCTCAGCTGCATAAAAAAGAGTTGAAGAGAATAGCTAGTTTTGTTTGCCAAGTATCACTTTTGCCCCGCCGTAGGATCTCTTTCACTCTTGAGCATGCTACCATTGACCATTGAACAAAGTGTTCTGCCGTTTTTGAAAACTTTGCTGATGATAGAAAAGGAACTCCAAGATAGATGTTTGATTTGTTTGATAGATGTATGATATGTTGATAGATGTTTGATATTCTAACTCCAGGTTATTCCAGTATAGTGGTTTCAATTTTTTATTTCTTGGTGACTTGTGGAATACTATGATTTTTGATTTTTCCAGATTCAGAGTTAAACCATTTTGCCTATAGTATAATTCTAATATCTTGAGTTTTTTTTATGTGCACTGTGCCAAGATTCACTGAGTAGGACTATATAATCAGCAAGTAAGAGCATACTTATTAATCGCTACAGACAATTTTCCAAAACTAATATACAGTTATATAGTATTAACAACATGTATAAGCATAATATACAATTTTTTTTTATCTATATATATTTTTTTTATCATAATTTTTTTTCCTATATTTTTATTAATTTTTTTTTATTAATTTATTTTATTTTTACTATTTCTTTCATTCATTTATTAGCATTATACATCCCTTTCTGCTCCTTCTCTCACTCTATACATTTTTCTCATTCCCTAGATTTTCTCCTCTCCTTTCCTAACCTAATTCATAACATGCATACAAATACATAAAGTGCAGTGGACGTGGTCAATAAATAATGTAAAAA